ACCAGGCAGCAGATGGGACATGAAACCCGCACCCTTCGCTATCATGCCGAATGCAGTGATCATTATGCTACCGCGGCCTTGATGGCCGCGTCGAATTCTCTCTAGTGTTTCTTAAACTGCAAGGCACTTTTTACTATTTCTATATTAAAATATCATGAAAGTCGATAGCAAGGAATTCCTTTCTTTGAACAAGGAGTTTTTACCGTTAGATAAATAAATGTACCTATTTAAGTCAATAGTAAATAATGGATAGAGTTTCAACGGTACTCTGAAAGACCAAAAAGCAAAAAAACGTAAAAGACTTAATTACTATGCTGAGTTACTGACTGTCATACATAATTTCCCACCATTTATCAATGGTAAAAATGTGCCAACATGACACAAACGTTTGAACAGACATCACATCACAACCATTCTCCATTATTTTTTTAGTACATGTTTATTAGAGTCATTTGATTAATAAGCTCGACTACGCAAAACAATTACAAAACAGCTCCAGATCAAAATATTATCAAGTTCTTTACGAAATCGTTGCACTAACAAATGTTTGGACCTTCCCGCCTTTTTTCGCCCGCAATGTTGCCAAATTACTAGTCAATATTTACCACTTGTATACACTGTGTGACATATTCTATAAATTATATTTTTTACGATGTCTTTTGCTCGGCTTGCGACAAGTCTGCCACAATGTGAATGTAAAATTGGTTGTTTTAAATGCCACAAGCAGCTGTTGACAGCCAGACATAATAGGACAGAGTTGTTGGATGGTAATTTAATTAATTTAGGTATATCTAGCTAGTTAGATATACTGAGTGGCGTGCATTTGGGGAGGCCTATGTCCAGCAGTGGACTAAGATGGGCTGTTGATGATGATGATGATGATGAAGTATATCTATGTTATAATTTAATGTAATGCAAGTTAAGGATAATATATTTTTCCGTCGCCAGTAGTGTATGCCCAAGTAAATGTCAAAGAAAAATGTATTCATAAATCAATATCTATATATATATAAAACTCAAAGGTGACTGACTGACTGACATAGTGATCTATCAACGCATAGCCCAAACCATTGGACGGATCGGGCTGAAATTTGGCATGCAGGTAGATGTTATGACGTAGGCATCCGATAAGAAAGGATTTTGATCAAATCTACCTCCAATGTATATATTTAAAACTCAAAGGTGACTGACTGACATAGTGATCTATCAACGCATAGCCCAAACCACTGGACGGATCGGGCTGAAATTTGGCATGCAGGTAGATGTTATGACATAGGCATCCGCTAAGAAAGGATTTTGATCAAATCTACCCCCAAGGGGATTAAATAGGGAATGAAAGTTTGTATGAAACTTTGTCAAATTTAAACCGATCGGGCTTTGCATGCAAGTATAAGAAGAATTATAGATGAATGTCATTGTGTATAATACAAGCCTGAGAACAAAAACTGTAGTCTACACTTCAGCTCTACACCGAAGCGAAGGGAGGGCGGGCTGCTAGTAAATAAATAAAATCCTTTTCTTTATGTTAAAAGCGCGGCAAATAAGCATATGCCCCGCCTGGTGGTAATCGGCAATCTCTGGTATTGTAATAGTAGGTACCCATATTCTCGAATGTACGTCGTTAATTAAAATTATTGGCTTTATTTGAATAAAAAATAAACAGAGATCTACGAGTCCGGCTCACACAGCACGCACGTGAAAATAGAGCTTTAGTTGAGGACGTGCAATGTGTGAACGAACGACGTGAATCTCGTCAACTTATTTGTTAGTAAAAAAATGTGCCAAGACGTGACGTCGTGCGACAAATCAAATCAATAAAACTCTGAACGTAATGTTTTCTGAATATGTGACAAAAAATTCATCTCAAATATATATATATATATATCTGATATATAAAATTCTCGTGTCGCGGTGTTTGTGGTTAAACTCCTCCGAAACGGCTTTCCCGATTCTCATGAAATTTTGTGTGCATATTGGGTAGGTCTGAGAATCGGACAACATCTATTTTTCATCCCCCTAAATGTTAAGGGTAATCCAACCCAATTTTTTTTTTTTTTTTCAATTTTAGATTTTTTTTTTTTTTTTTTTTTATGATACATCATACAAAAATACATACAACCCTAAATTTTCACCCTTCTATCGCCAACCCCTATTTTTTTATCGCGGTACGAAGTTCGCTGGGACAGCTAGTATATATATATATTATAATTTTTAAAGCATGTAACTGCTTGATGTTTAAATCTAAAGAAAATATAACTAGAAAAAATTCCACGCGGACCAGGCAGCAGACGAGACTCGAACCCGCACCCTTCGCAATCCGGGCGAATGCACTGACAAATTGGTCAGTTAGTTATATTTTCTTTATATATATATTATGTTTTCTATCGCTTATAGTTTCAAAGGCGCCACTAATCACACTAATATTATAAAGGCGAAAGTTTGTGAGTGTGTATGTTTGTTACTTCATCAAGTCTAAACGGCTTTAATAAAATTGAGTATGGAGTTAGCGGAAACGTTTTACTGCGGGAAAATATCCCTAATAAAAAGCGGGTAACACCGCGGGGCACAGCTAATAGTTCATAATTTTCATTATTCTAATCTTGTTTAATAGGGATGATGACTAATTTTTTTTCTTCGTTTATCAGGTAGATTATCAAAAAGTATTGGACACGTATTTTTTCTTTTTTCACATTATATAAACATTGCAGAGATATATTGATTTGAAAAGTCGCTGACGTCACGTTTGAGTACACTTATAAGTGAAAATTCACCCAAAAGTGACGTCACAAGCCCCTACTCCCAAACTTTGACGCGCTATAACTTTGTCATTTTTTGGTTGATTGCCCAAAGAAAAAATACGTGTCCATTATTTTTTGATCATCTAACTGACGGACTAAATAGAATTTCGTTTACTGTACCCCGTCATCACCCCTATTTTGTATTTCTGTTTGGTTTTAACTAAAATCCTGTCCTTTCGTACTGTCTCTTAAGCATGATATGTCGCTACCTTCAATATTTTTTTTTACTTAATTTTTTGAAATTGCATGAACTACTACTACAAATACTACAATGTATCTTTAATGTAACTTTTTCTGGTGGTCTTAATAAATAAATTAAACTTACTTATTGTACTTTCATGAACACTGTAATGGCATAGCTTTTTGCAAAGGCTGTTACAACCTACCTACTTGTTTATATCGTGAAGTTTCTTTCGCCAAATCTTCTTCACAGCTAAAAGAATTTTGTGAAAACTTTTGAAACAGAACATAATATCGAACAAATATTCTTTAGAATTAAACATCTAGTAGTTAAAAAATCACAAATTAACTACATTTGTAATATCTTCTTTCAAATGTGTAATTAATAATAATAAATAAATATTTTCAACACTCACACCAATTAGCCTAGCCCCAAAGTAAGCACTGTAAGGCTTGTGTTATGGGATACTAGGGTAACGGACAGAATACATATACTGTACATATATAAGTATATTTATATAGAAATACATATTAAACATCCATGACTGGAGTACAAATGCTCGTATTCATCACACAAGCATCTGTCCCCACCGGGATTCGAACCCGGGACCTCTCGAGTCGGCGACACCATGAAACCCGGCGTACAAACCACTCGGCCACGGAGATCGTCAAATTAATTCTTGTAAAGGTATTCATTTGGCATATGGGTTACCTACAATGCGAAGAGATGGCGCTGGCTAGAGAAAATTCGATAAGGTGTCAGAGACGCGGTAGCATAATGGTCAGTGCATTCGCCCGGATAGCGGAAGCAGATGGGACTCGAACCCGCACCTTTATGTGGGATCGAGTCCCGTCTGCTGCCTGGGGTTCAATCGCCTAACAGAATTGCTATAGGTATTGCTATCGCTTACGATTTCATTTTGTTATTTCTGACCGCCGAAGGTTTTCAAATACCTTACGCTCATTGTCTTTTATATTGTTGTTACCGAATAAAAACGAGTGCGGGACATTTGAAAACCTTCGGCGGTCAGAAATAACGAAATGAAATTGTAAGCGATAATGATAGCCATAGCAATACCGTAAGGGGAATGGCCCCCTGGTCCGCGTGTTTTCTAGTAAAATTGTCTTTACATTTATACATCTATCAGTTAAATGCTGCTTAAAAAATCCAAAAATATAATGTTGAAATATTCAAAACAGTTGTTTTATAGTTCCATTTTTAATACAAAATAAACATTGTTATTTATTTGAATACAGTATTACTAAGAAAAATATCTGAATAAATTTCAATGACTTAATTATTCCTGGTTACAGACATAATTGAATTTCTCTTTTTCTCAACTTCGTTAACTTAATTTTTTCAATTGAATGATCATAATCATAATCATATAAATAAATAGTTGAGTACCACATTTGCAATAACTTAATTGCACATGCTTGCATATTTATTGATTACTCTAAAGTAAAATCCTTACTTGTTAGATGATAAAATTATTAATCGAGTTTAAAATAGGTGATTTCGTACTATATATTACGAGGAAAAATAAAAACAAATGACATTTTCATAAGCAATCCGCCTATAAACGTTTTATTGCGCCCAATATAGCTCAGATCTCTTAAAACATTTTTAAATTAAAACACGTTAAATATAATCTTAAGCTAATATAATAAATAGCGATACGACTTTTTACATACTATATACGCGTTATAATACACTCACTCTACACTCCTATCACAGTCAACAAAGAATACTTGACAAGTCCCGGCCTAATCTGTAGTATAACTCAATACTAGGACAGGCCCTAGGTCCACCTTCTTCGTAAATCGAAGACAAAACACTGTAAACTTGATTCTAACTTACTTTCTTCTTCACCACACAAATCAATGCATTTATCAGACCCAATAAAAGTTCACTGCGTCTGACCAATCGCCTTCGCCAGATCCCTGCTTTTGCCCGTCACTATATTACAACAGTTAAAGATTTCGATTTATGGAGTGTCTCCCATGTTTTCTATCAACTGTGCTTCATGTGTGGGTCTGTTGATTCTAACTTACTTTCTTCTTCACCACACAAATCAATGCATTTATCAGACCCAATAAAAGTACACCAACTTACGTCTGACCAATCGCCGTTGCCAGATCCCTGCTTTTGCCCGTCACTATATTACAACAGTTAAAGATTTCGATTTATGGAGTGTCTCCCGTGTTTTCTATCAACTGTGCTTCATGTGGGGGTCTGGATCTTGCGGTGGGCTCGGCGGCAAGCCGTGGATCCGACGGTACAGCTGATGGTACGGCGGTGGGGGCAAGCGCAGCAACGGCGCGGGCATATAGCGCCCGTACACAGACAACAAGGGTGGGTACAGTCCTACGAGAGAAGCGTAAGGGGCTCCGAACACAGGGTGTAGCAGAGCTCCCCGCTTGAACGCAGCCAGCCGCGACCGCGACGCCGCCGTCGACCGCCGCCTCAGCTTCCCCGTCGTACCACCAATGAACACATCATCCGAAGAAGGATCCAACATCCAATAATTCCCCTTTCCAGGATCGTCGTAATGCCTTGGCACTTTGACGAAACATTTGTTCAAACTCAAATTGTGGCGAATGGAGTTTTGCCAACCTTGCTTGTTCTCCTTGTAGTACGGGAAGTTCTTCATGATGTACTCGTAAATACCGTTGAGCGTCAGCCGTTTCTCAGGGCTGCTGCGGATCGCCATCATGATCAGCGCGTTGTAGCTGTACGCTGGTTTCTCGTTCTTCTTTTTAACTTCGTTGGAGTCTTTCGAGGAGCTTGGGGGCGGCGTTTCTGTGCCGGTGACGTCGAGCTCCGTGTCTGAGGGTGAGGGGGAGCGCGACGATGCCTCTGGGAGTAAGTCTCGGATGGCGAAACTGTGCGGAGGACTCATAGTGGTGCGGCATGGCGAGCCGCTCGCTCACAACTAAACGGCGACGGATCGCGCCGCGGCAGCCACGCCCCGCGCGCCGCCTCCTAACCGCCACACCCTTCGTTACATCCACACTCCATTACTTCAAACCTGACCCTCAAATTTGCACTCTAAACCTACACGTTTAGAATACATTCTTCCAAAGCTGCCGTAAAAAAGTAAGCTCAACTTTTTTTTTTAAATCACGCAAGGGAATGCGCGTTTCTAAAGCGCACGAAAGGGTTGCATTGAACATTTAAAAACTCATATTTGCACTCTAAATCTACACATTTAGAATACAATCTTCCAAAGCTGCCGTAAAAAAGTAAGCTCAATTTTTTTTTTAAATCACGCAAGGGAATGCGCATTTCTAAAGCGCGCGAAAGGGTTGCATTGAACTTTTAAAAAAAAAATACAGAAATTAACGCGATCCGTCACACGCGGTAAACATTAAGTTGTCTGTGATTTTTCACGCGTTGTTTAGGGTGTATTTATTTAGTGTGACCGGTTCACTTTAATAAATAACTGCAAATGGATATGGGAGAGTGTAATTATTAATTGTGTTTTTTTAAACATTACAGCAGATGTGTCGTCGTGATAGATGATATGTTGCGACCGATTTGACAAATATGTAGTGATTCGAGACGCTTATTAATGGCTTTGGCTGGTGACTAATTTTACATTCCATTACATGCATACATTCCAGTACCATAGTACTGGATAAAAAGAATATTGCTATGTCACCAAGACAATATTTTACAATGCAACATAGAATAAATTAACATAATTCAGTCTAATATTATAAAAAAATCATTTATATATTTGTTTCTTAGGTTTTCACGCACATCACTGATTAAATAAAACTAGTTTTTACGGGTTAATGCACGAAACTTTATTTATTTATTGACGTTTCGTAGCCTTTACAGGCTACGGGCGTCAGAATCAAACTTTTATTAAATTTGTCGAGCTACCTTCGAAAGACTTTTATTGGGCGTTCGGTTATTTCATTGTTCGATTTTTAAAGTTTTATTGTCTATGTATGAATTTATTATTTAATTTACTGAATAAAGTATTTTATATAAATTTTTTAATAAGTTTCGTGCATTAACCCGTAAAAACTAGTTTTATTTAAATCATTTATATCTTGTCTTTTTTAACAAATAGCTGACTGATACCCTACAAAATTTGCAAAAACTTACTCTATACCTAACGAATGGTTCAGAAAGCTTCTCAAGAGCTTTTGACTGCTTTATAGCAATCACCTTATATTGTCCGAGTGCAATGTCCGTGTCAGTAAAAAAACTATTAATTGTTTAGCGCATGATGAGGCCATCTTTAATTACAGTTATATGATATCCTAACATTTAAGCATACTCGTATGTGTAAGTCTGTTTGTATTAACAACAATTGTGTTGTTGGTGATGTCTTGTGTTGTTGGTCCATAAATAAGTAAGTCAGTTTTTATTTGTTATATTAATTAGTTGCTTGGGTGCAGAGTTGTCGGCGTTGGTGTTGTGTGCTTTAATTTTATTTTCACCGAAACCATTTTCTTTAGATTTAAACATCAAGCAGGTACATGCTTAAAAAATAGAAAATTATAAACATTTTCTCACTGATCAATTTATCAAGTTTTTTTTCTTTGTTTTTATGTTTATGTAAATGTACCATAACAATTATATGTCCAATGAATGTTTAATTATTTTAGTATTTAATTTAATTTTTATTTCGTTTATTGTATTGAATGTGTTTTGTGAATGAATTTTAATCTGACATTTAATTGATTACCTCATCTTTAAGGGTCAGAACTGAAAATCAGCGATTTACTCTCTGAGTAAATGTTACGCTGAGTTTTCGAAAATATCATAGTATAGTTGTATAAATATAATTTGTTGCATTGATTTTAAAGGATTTATATAATTGTAATATTTGTATGTGTGCATGTTGGTGCGAATAAAGTTTCATCTATCTATTTGTGTTTGGTGTTCAGTATTTTTATAAATAACCGAAAACGACGGTCTTCATCATCATCATCATGATGATGCCTATTAATGTCCCCACTGCTGGGGCACAGGCATTATTATTACGAGCACATGGCCTTATTCGTCTGTTTTATTAACTTGTGCGGTCTTTCTGAATGGCAACGAATTTTGATTTTAATTTGAACAAACAATAACCCTTATGATGACTTCATTAGCAAAATTGAGATCGACCTCGAATTGCAAGCAGTAATGTAACGTCCGTTACGTTACTGCCTCCTTGTTTAGGTAAACTCTTTGCTCTTGCAATGCCCACGGCTGGCAGTTATATTAAAAAGTTAATATCATGATTTTAAGATTTGAAATAAGGAATCGTCTGTCTTTTGATAGAAGGTTCCATACAAGAGACGATCTTCAGGCACCAACCCTTGCGTAGCTTAGATAAAAATAATTATATTCGCCTGAATCAAAAAAAAATGGGTGCGTGTACTTATGTAGGCGCGTGAGAAGTTATCCTTCTTTGGCATCGTTTAAAATTAGTTTTTAATTGCATGCAAATAATTAATTACAATAAATTAATAAAAAGTCTGGAAAAGGACACAGTCAATAAAGTTCAGTTTTAATTTGAAAAAATAAAAAAAATAATCAAAATATTCAATTAAAATCGCTACTGAATATAATTTATTAGAACATATGTGATTTGCACTTGTATGAAACTCAAATTGATGAAATCACGTATTCTCACGATGAAATCACGTATTCTCAACAGGAATACGTGATTCCGAATATACAAACTAGAAACATGTGGATAAATATTATAAATATGAATACCTATAACTGTTACTTTATTACAAAAAATAAACATGTGGTTTTTGGTTCTACTACACCAATGGTCAAGAGATGGCGCTGTAGTCTCCTGAATCGCGCTTTGGTTCCGTTGTTCCAGATTAATAAATACTTTTGATAGGCCTTCACAATGCAGTCGTTAGCACCCACTAAATAGAGATTCTATTTCTATTTTGTTGGTAGATTTTCTTAATGTGCGGTAAACACAAAAGTAACGCATGCAGGTTTGTCGCTAAAGCGACCAACTTCATGCTGATTGCTGTTAAAATTTTGTGTTACAGTGATGCGCGCGCATCTTAAAATTTCATTCTCATCATTTTTTCATAACGCGCCTAAAGAAGTATAACTTCAATAAATAACTTTAATAGTCCAATTTCTTTTAATTAGTAACTACGTCCCCTGAGTTTTATCCACTCTGGCTAAAACTCCTCAGTACCTAGGCAGGATTTTTATCATTATCAATCATAAATTGATTTAAATGCCTTTTGGTTTTATTTAAGCTGCAATTAGTTTACGGGGAAGGATGTCCATATTTTGCTTTTTTGCAAACTGAGATGATTTAATTTATTGTTGAGAAAAATAGCATGGAATTGTAGTTGTTACCTATAGTTGTTATAGGTAGACACTTAAAAAAAGCATAAAATTGACACTATACTAAAACATAAAGAAAATATATAGAATAAAACCATAAATTTAGTTCCCTCTACAGGATTTTTTTAAATTTTAGTTATTTTTCAATCGACCTTTGTAATCGGTATATTTCAAATATTGTAAATCTTTTACCATAACTACTAAATCCTTCTTATCCCAATCCAATTCAATTATATATAAGTATACTAATAATAATATACTATGTAAATCACACTTATAATATAAACGCGAACGTATGTGAGTGTGTATGTTTGTTACTTTTTCAGGTCTAAACGGCTGAAGCGATTTTAACACAATTTGATATGGAGTTAGATGACAGTCTGAATTAACACATACGCTTTACTACGTTTTCCTGCGGGAAAATATCCCTAATAAGCCGTGGGTAACACCGCGGGGCACAGCTAGTATTTCATATTCCTTGCGGAATCAACAGCGCATCAAAAACACACCAGATTCGCAGATACGCAAAACTTAAGCGCAAATCATAAATCTGACTTTGGTCAAAGATTTCATTGATAATAGGTGAAGATTCCATAACAGTCAATTCGTTTTGAACTCTACTACAATATTCATAAGTCACAAAGCATCGGTAACAGTCTGAAGTTCAGTTCAGAGCGGGCGAACAGGATTATTCCGTGCCACTCCCCCTCGCCACGCCTACACTAACATGCCGACTACATAAATATTGTCATCAAACACACATCAAAATCACCAAATAACTATTTATTAATACTTAATGTACAAGCGTACATAAGCGGTCTTAATGCCATAGGCTTTCTCTACCAGTCAAACATAGGGTGCTGTGGATAAATAGTGGTAGGGTGCAAAACTTAGATAGAAATTACAGAAAGACGAACAGATATAAATATGAAGTAGCCATATATATAACAACACATACATAATATAAGTACTGACCATATAAATAACTATATATTACACACACATATATATACTTCTTATATATCAATATATTTACATACTGAATGAAAAAACAAATAATTAAATGCATTAAACAAACATACGTACCTACATACCTGCTACTACTGTTATAATGAATTGTATCTTTAACCTTACCGTGCCTGTAGGTACAATTGCTCGTTAAATTTGATACCAAGAGCTCCAATACAATTTTTGTAGTATTGATACATAATCCAGTCATAATATACAACACCTTTTGTTTTATTGTTTTATATCAATTTATTTTTTTATTGATAAAACTAAAAAAAAAAGTTTCATTGAAAAATACAAAAATATTCGTAACTTTTCGTGTAATGAAGTTATGGCTATGCTGGGGAAAGATTTTTTGTTGGAAATTACCTTCTTTATCTCCCTGTTTTTGTCTTTATGTCCCTGTCGTTGACCCACGACTTTTTGGCCACCCTGTATAGAGGAGTTCGATGGTGCAGGTGGTTAGCGCTTTCGGATGCGATCGTTGAAATTAAGCAACTTTCGCACTGGTCGGTCATTGGATGGGTGACCAAAAATTTACTATCTCGAGCTCCTCCGTGCTTCGGAAGGCACGTTAAGCCGTTGGTC